TTTAGGGGTTTAAGGGTTTAGGGAGCTTGGTTTTAGAGTTTAGGGGTTTAGGGGTTTAGGGAGCTAGTTTTTAGGGGTTTAGGGGTTTTAGGGGTTTAGGGATCTGAGCATCGAGTCTGATGTATTAGAAACGTTTGAAGATCGGCAGAAAGGGAGATGAAGCAGTGGGCAGCACTTTCGAAGTGCAGGCGAATTTGGGTTTTGAGGTTTAGGGTTTAGGGTTTTGAGTCTAGGGTTCTGGACTCCAGACGTTGTGCAAAGAGGCTTCAGGTATCAGGTGCCATTGCGGAGGCAGAGCCTCTTGCAGCGCGAGCCCCGAAGTCTTTGATTGGAGTGAGCTTTGGAGGTCCACTTTAGAGTCATGCTTCATGTGCCTTCAGGTCGAAGTCGCCGGGCTATGGTCGGGGTTCCACCGGAACCCTAAACCCGAAACCCCAAGCACCTGCTGCAGTTGCATTATCCAAGAGAATCCCAGCAGACATGCAACCGAAGCCTGAGTTCTGAGCCCTAAACCCTATGACCCCGAAATCCCATGGACATTACCCAAGGCTCGGACCCCTACTGTCTCGTCAATGCCGGCCACAGCGTTCAGGTCGGGCCCTCAGAAGAATCGGGGTCTCAAACCCCAGGTAAGGGCTGTTTCGAGGATCATGGGACTGAGTAAGTAAGGTTATAACTACCGTAATTTGGTTATAATTGCTTAGAACTACAGTTACCTTATTTATAACCCTAGTTACTAAGTCCCATGATCCCGCAAGTGTTGTGGGGCTTCTGATGACTCTTCTACGAGGGCACATGAGCTGAGGCTTTCCTGAGTGCGGGATTACAGGTTCGTCAGGGTTCTGGCGGGTTTTTCCCTGCGTTATCCTCATGAGAGCTGCAAGACGCAATAATATTCCACAATCCTATAAGGTGCCGTAATATATAGGGCAGTAAACTACTGCAATGATGGCGGCAGCAGCATTGCGAGGTTTATGGCGGGTCCTATGAAGTCGTGTCGCCTCTTTGTAGAGCTTCTGATGTACTGTAGCATCGTACACTATCTGGTGGTCCAACTAGTTTTAATAGATTAGGGAATAGTTTTGTATGTTGCGGTATATTGTGTATAGTCTTTCGGATTACATCACAATGCATTATAGTAGATTGCAGTCTCTTGCAATATATTGTAGCGCATCGTAGTACATCAGAGTAGTTCTATAGCATTCATATAGCTCAGTATATTATGATTATCGTGACAGGTCTAGTAGCCTGTATCATTACAACCCTAAACCCTAAACTCTAAACCCAAAGCCGACGACTACGACTGCAGCGAGCTAGAGGTGAGGACGCACACAGTCTCGGCAACCCTTGAGCCACGCGCCGGCCCCAGTTAGGGTTTAGGGTTTAGGGTTTAGGGCACTTGAGGTGGTATTTGGGGGGTGGGGGAGGGGCGACAGGGTGTGGGGTTTTCCGTTTTTAGGTAGAAGGCTTTAGGATTGGAGGGTTTGTCATGCGCGCAATATATGCATTACGGAAAGAGCATGGAATGCGAAAAACCCATGAGCCATGCTTCGCTATGTTGCAGTGTAGATCAAGTTTCTGGGAAGTTCAAGCTTGTGTAGGAGTGGGGAAGGAGGACTGTAATGCTTTTTTTGGAGGGGGAAGTCAGGAGGGTTTCAACTTCATAGTGTTTAAAACCTGAAAAACATGTTTATCCTCGGCTAGCTTGCAGAGTTTGTTCGACGTTGACATCCACACTAGTAAGACATATTTTGTCATGAGGAAGTGGCACGTGCTTGCACTTGCGCACGTGTTAGGCTTGGCTGTCTGGGCAGCGATGTTTTCTTGCGAATTATCTCGCGGATGTTGCCTCGAATTTCAAGATTCTATCTGCCTCAAAAAAACACGCACCGCCTGCACCACCGGCCAACAAGGCCGCATGTCAAAACATCAAACAAATCCGTGCAAACCTGCCCAGAGAGTCAGCACCAACGCGTGCCCAACTAGAACTCGTCTTCTTCTTCTTCATTACTCCGTAGGCCTGTCTACTTTGGGTACAATGGGATGGAGTCCTGAAGTCTGAAGCATGAGTGCCGCAAAGTCCGATGCCGGAAGACGATAGCTTGGATTCTGGCATGCCCCGAAAACCCTAGAAACCGTACGGATACGCCCTCAACTGGCCCTAAAACATATCAGCCCTAAGCCCTCAACAAAATCCCTACACTATCAGCCCTAAACCCGAAAAGCCCGAAATTCAACCAGCCCTAACCCCAGAACCCCTAATATAAGGGCCTTAGACAAGGGTTTGGGGGTATACTATACTGTAACTATAGTAAGGCACCCCAGAAATTGCATAGGTAATTATGCTTATGATTCTTGTCATTTGTTATTATTATTACTATTATTCTCATTATTCTTATTATTCTTATTATTCTTATTATTGTTATTCTTATTATTATTAAGGCGCCTACATTAATCCAAGAGGATGGGACACAACGCTCTCCTTCCGCCTTTCCCGGCCCGACGATGTCCTGCACCTCGAGGCTCCGAAAGTCTTCGAACGTTTCGGGAACTTCCGGGCTGCAAGATTGGGGGTTTTGGGTTTTGGGTTTAGGGTTTAGGGTTTAGGCCGGGCTGCGAGATTGTGGGTTTCCAATAGTCTTAGGGTTTTCGGGAGGGTTTAGGGTTTTAGGGTTTAGGGGTTTAGGGTTTAGGGTTTCCAATAGGCTTAGGGTTTTCGGGTCTATGTGTTTAGGGGTTGGGGGTTTAGGGTGCATTCTGCGTGTAGGGTTTCGGCTTCAGGGTCTGGGTAGACAGGGTGCTGGGGCCGTCTCCCCTCAAACCACGAATCGACCCCAAAAAACTCCCAAGCCATGAAGGCTTGGGATCTTGGAAGCGGAAGGTAGTTGAGTCGCTCCTTCGGGATATTATGGTAGACTTATCATATAGTACTATGGTATGTTACATTGATAGTTTCTCATGTAACATATCATGAGGCTGCTTTCGGAAGCCCTTGCTCAAGCTGCGTTTCCGAAGTGCTTGCATCTCTCCACGCTCAGCAGGTGTGGGATGAGGACTGCATGCGGCTATAAGAGGGTACATCCCAGAGTCGGGTGAGGGCTTGCAGTTTAGCGCTATTCTGCAAGGAATTGCAAGGTTCTTACTTACAAAGCTTTCGCCCGCTTCGCTTGATCGCGCACCGGGATATCACACCTTCGTGCATCGTATGAGTGTGGGTATAAAGTTCAGCTGGTACATGATACGGTACATGTAGTTCACGCCGTGCGAGTGTGTCTTGCGTCAGACTTGCGAGACTCGGCAGTGCCAATGTGACCGTGGCCACTTTACACATAACAGGCATGTCAAAAGCTGGAGGCGTCATGGCCTTGGTGGGTCGGAGGTTGTGTGTGTTCACGGCCGTACGCGCCGTCACTGCATACTGCATGAAGATGGGTAGTCATGCGCCGGAGTACACAGCAGACCCTTTCCGTAGGACTACCAACCTGAAGATTCAGCGCTTTGACTGCTTTGTCTGTTTTTGGGCTGTCATTCGATTCTAACATCATTGACTGATCGACTTCACTTGTAGATACAGAAGCGAGAAGCTCTGGGTCCTTTCACCTTGCGTCCTGGCCTGCGATCGCCCCGAATCCTACGACCGCGACCTCCCACCACAAAGCTTCGATCTCTGCACTGCAATCCCACCGTTCTCGAAAACTTGTGTTGCTATAAATTGCTGTCTAACCTTATGTCTGTGGGGCGCCTGAAACAACTAACGCTGCGAGGACACCACCTCTAGGGATGATGCCATTGGCTTCCTTGACTTGCCCCTTTCGCAGGCCTGTGCTGAGATCTTACACTGCTGTTAGGGACAAGTGTGAATCACTTGGAGGCGGCTTTAAGCAATAACCCACTCTTCCAATGATGAGTGCAATAGCCTATCAGCCAGTCTTCTCATACCACAATAATTCGATCCACTGCGTCCTGAAGTGTTGATGTTCTTAGCGTTTTTATCGTCTAACAGCTCCCAGCTGAAGCTGTGATGTATAACAGCCCTTCCTCCACCGGAGTTTAGCATAGCATTGGTAAGTTTCAGAACAACTTTTGTACATGGTTTGGGAATTGCAGACCTCTGCACAAATCGCACTTGAAGGTGCCTCTCTCCAGCAGCTCAGCACCCCTCCGTGGGTGGGCCGCTTCGAAGCAGCTACCATTCAGGGTTCGTAGTACGTAGGTAGTGGTTGTTAGGATAGGGCCCGGATCAGAAAAGAAATCCAGGATTTTTGGCGTGTACAGTGGACTGGTTGTGGTCTTGCAGTGTGATGTTTCGAGTCTTGAGTTTCAAAAATGAGGGTTTTAGGTGTCTAGGACGGTTTCCACGAATTCACGATGCAAATGTTTCGAAGCAGGAGGTCCCACATTCGATTGCCCCTGTAGCTGAGTCGTAGTTGCGGATATGCGGTTTGTGCAAGTCGACCTAGAACATGTTTTGTTGCCTCATGTATTCTGATACCATAAGATCTTCAAAAACAGGTTGGATGTAGGTAAGCGTTCCATGCCATACCCTGCAAGCTAAGCCTTCGGTTTTTAGCTGGTTTCGGGTGAGCCCACTAGCAGTGATACCCTACGGCACTCGCCCTTAGGCATTGTTTGTACTTCCCTAACCCCCCAGGTACCTACTATATAGGGTACTAGAGCCCCTAGGGCCCTATATAGTAGGTACCTTGGGGGGTTAGGGCTTAGTATCCCAACATCGTACAAGAGAAACAAACCGGCTCGAGGTCCCGCTATGCCGACCGGAGGCCGGTGAGGGCGCTAACTTTAGGGCTTTAGGCTTTAGGGTTTAGGGTTTAGGGTTTAGGGTTTAGGGTTTTGTGATTGAGGGTTCCATTGTTTCTGGATCTTGAGGTTGAGTAATTTAGGAGCGCTTCGAATTTAAGAGTTAGGACTCTTGGCGTTTCGGGCTTCAGTCCAAGGATTACGTGTATGTGTATGTATATACCATATATACTTTCAGGTATGTATGTCTGTATGTGTGTACATGTGTGTGTATATATATACACACACACCATATTTGCATGTTTTTGCATGCATACGTACACATATATAAATCACATAACTACATATGTTCATAATATGAGTAAAGGACTGAAAATCTGCATTCACCAAGGCCCTCCGAGCCGCCCAGTTCCAGATGATCCCACGCCAGGCTCAGGCGCTTCCTGGTGAGGTCGTCAACCTCCCCGCGAAGGGCGCAGGCGCTGAGGGCTGTGGAGGGGTTTAGGGTTCAGGGCTCTAGAGTTTAGGGTTCAGGGTCTAGGGTTTAGGGTTTAGGGTTTAGGGTTTAGGGGAGCTCAAGAGTTGCACATGCTGCCTCAGTTGTGTTGGTTTTCAGCCTTGCACCGTGCAGACGAAAGTCCAAAGGACGACCTAAACTTAGTGACGATGCTAACACAATCATGTAAACATACATATATATATATATATACACACACATATTCATTTAGTTATTTATTCACCTGTTCTTTTATGTAAGTGAGTAAGTAAGTAAGTAAGTAAGTAAGTAAGTAAGCAAGCAAGTAAGTAAGTAAGTAAGTAAATATGTGTGTGTGTGTATGTATGTATGTATGTATGTATGTATGTATGTATGCATGCATGCATGCATGTATGTATGTATGTATGTATGTATGTATGTATGTATGTATGTATATATAACATGTGTATGTAAGTGTATGCACATATATATATATATATGTACACATGTATACACATGTGTATACAGATATACCGATATACACGTACATGTGTATATATATATATATATATATGTACACAGATATAGGTACTTCGTTGTTCAGATTCCTTTGCCGATGTTCAAGGGTCACATGGGGTGTTCATCGCTCTTTTGTTCCACAGGGTCTTCTGCTATGTCGAGTTGTCTGTTGGAGGGAACTATCTGTGGACAACGGTTGTAGGAGTCTACACACGTACGTACATGCATGCATACCTACTTACTTTCTTGGTTGCATACTTGCAACACAAGATGAAACTACTCCACACGAGAAACACGGGCCCCACAGCGTTCGTTTCTGTAAACTTCGGGCTTGTTTATCGTACTGTAGTGTGTATACATGAATATGCATATCGTATGTGTGCATATATGTACACACATACTATATATATATATATATGTACATATGTATGTACGCATGTATGGATGGACGGATAGATGAATGGATGGTTTTTATGTCTCTACTCGTTCATGTATACATATGCGGATGGATGATGGATGCATGGAAGAAACTATAGATGCATGCATCCATGCACGCAGGCGTGTGTACATGTGTGTACGGAAGTTTCATAGTGTGCCTCTTGCAGGTCCACGTGTAGTGCAGTGTGCAAGCCGAAAGTAAGGTTGGTGGTGTGTGGGTGCGTGGCTAGGCAGGTGCGTGGCTGCGTGGGTGGGTAGGTAGGTCGGTAGATATACGGATAGATAGTTAGACCCATAGGTCGATAGACATGTAAGAGCAGATCGATAGATGGATGGATGGATGAGTGGATGGATGCATAGGTTCTTTCCTTTTTGTGTGTTGCTGGATATATTGCTATAACCCACATGTGCACGAGTAAAAACGAATACCGATGCGACCACCATAAATGTGAAATAGCATTGTTGCGCACGCAAACTACAGTTTATTATATGCAGAACATGAAATTCCACATAACTAGTTTCAAAAGGCAGCTATAAACAATTAGCAAGAACGAACAAACAGATGTGTGTGTGTATATATATATATATGCATACGCATTATATTCGAGCTGCAATCTCTGCACTCTGCGCAGGGGCCGTCTTGCTGGAGGCAGGCCACAGGGACATCAGAGCTTCCCCAGCTAGTTTGGGATTTAGAGGGGCTTGCCGAAACCAGTCTCCACACAACCGTTGCTCTGCCGTGGAGACATTGCAAGCATCCCCTCGTCCCACCCGGCCTGTGAAAATGAGGTCCGAATAAGTAACCATCCCTGAGCTTACATGGAACGACCGGCCCCTAGCAGACATACCTACTGCACTGTAGCCCGCACCAGTGCCTGGTGATAAATGCTGCTGTCAGGCGATCCATTGAACCCGAATCCCAGAAACTCGAGAAATACCAAAGGATCTAAGGGCAGTCCTTTCTTCGGTGCCACAACACATGAAGCTCACTTGCATGAGCCGCACTCTGCCGCCGAGAGTGAATGATATTCCGTGAGGATTTGTGAGTCCAGAGGCAGCTTGACGTGCGATTCAGGAGTCGTTTCTGGATTACTGCTAGAGTTAGAGCCTTTGCTCTTCGGCCACAACTACTTTATTGGTTCACCTCCTGTGGTATGATTGGAGAGAACGAAGACAATCAAGACTTAAAGCTTTGGTTAAATGCTCGGGACAGGTACAGCTGGTAGACGTGGAGCAGTTCAAGCTATTCAAAGCCTTCGCGTCCTGTACTGAGCATGTGTCTGCGACTGGGTCACAGCCTTCAATCTTTCGCCGTATAGCCGGTAGACCCAAGACCCAAGACTGCCAGACCGAGCGCTCCAGAACTACTCCAGACTTTGCACGGAACTGCCGTGAAACCCTAAATCCCGAAACCCTGAATCCTGCACCGTGGCCGTGACTGCGCGACTACCCTCAAACTTAAACCGTCCACAGAACCGACGGCGGTGCCGAAAGCCTGGACTCTGACCCATGCCTTGCGACGGAAATCGATCATTAATATCATATCAGGCCACATCAGATCATATCGTGTCGTATCGTCTCATATCATAACATGCCAGATCTGACCCGACCACGTCGTATCATATCGTACCACACCATATCATATGACATCATCTCATGTCATCTCAAGTCCTATCTTGTCTTATCCTATCCTCTCCTGTCCTATCCTCTCCTATCCCATCCCATCCTATCCTATCATTTCATTTGCCAGATGCCCGGGAAAGTAGGATGAAGCCCGTAAGCTCTCTATACTCGAACTCCGAGCCAGAAGCTTCAGACCTTGAGGGTTTCATGGTTGCGGGATTTAGGGTTTAGGTTTCAGGGTTCGGAGTTTAGGGTTTAGGTTTAGGGTCTAGGGTTTAGGTTTCAGGGTTCGGAGTTTAGGGTTTAGGTTTAGGGTCTAGGGTTTAGGTTTCAGTGCTCTGGGTTTAAGTGCTCTGGGCACCTAGCATAGTCGTGTTGCAACCCCAGCTCTAAGGCCTAGGCTTGTACTTCTCGAGCTACAACAACTTCGGTCACCATCACCGACTACAACCCCGGCCCCTGGAATCTTGAACCCTGCAACAGGCAAAGCCCTCATTTTTAGAACCTTAACTAAAGACAAACAATGACAAACAATGGTGGTGTTGCCCTTGGATGCTGGCCACCCCCTCTCCATGCAAGCGGCGTTGTTCAGACCGGCCTTCATCAAGACTTATGTTTCAGGACTACACGTCCGGGCTGGGAGTTCAAGTGTCAGTGTTGGGCTTCAAGATTGACGGTTTAGGCTTCGTAGTTTAAGCTTGCACCTGTAGCTCCTGGCTCTGGGATCAAGGGCTTCGGACAAACCCTAAACTCTAAACTCTAATGTAGAAGCCTTAACAATTAGAATAGGGTTTTGGGGTCTATTCGACTATACCCATAATAAAGAACCCCCAAAATGGAATAGTAAGGCCCCTATATTAAACCCCTAAACTTTGGCCGTAAGACGTAGACGGACTCTTGTCGCAAGTTCACACCCAGAGAACCCAATACACCTGAATTAAGGAATGTACCTTAAAAGGGCTTTATTATGATTTAAGGTATATTCCTTGATTAAAAAAAATATACCTTAAATTACAGGGTCCTTAGTATTATGATTTAAGGTATATTCCCCAATTAAGGGGTATTGGGTTCTCTGGGCAATGACGTTCGACCGAGGGCGCCCCTCCCAGCCGTTCCACAGCAGCCGCTGACCCGGACGAGAGGGTTCTATTATTATTATTAGTATTTATTATTCTTATTAATATTATTCCGATTATTTCTATTGCTATTATTGCTACGGGTATTGCTATTATTACTATGATAGCTATTATTATTATTATTATTTTTTTTTATTAGTACAAGGATTACTATTCCTATGATTGTTATGGCTGTTACTATTGCTATTACTACAATTGCTTTTACTTCTGTTACTAGTACTATTACGATTATTACTATTACCGGTTGGTAGTTGAGATTTGCAGCCAGGCCTGTGGCTAAAAGAGGGCATGTGCATGGGACTGAAATCGAAAAGATGACAGCAATGAAACGCATGTGCCAAGCTATGCACATGGGTAGTTTTCTAAAATAGGGTCCCTTTTGGGGTCCCCAATATGGTACGGCACCACTATAAAAAGGACCCCAAAAGGGACCCTAATTTAGAGAACTACCCATATGTACCGGACTGTAGGAAGTACGTGACATGCCTGTTAGTCATTGTACAGCCTCAGTCGAAGTGATATAGGAGCCTCAATAGTAAACTGTACTTTTTTTTTTGGGGGGGGGAGGTGCCGCATTATAACTGTAGTACAATATACCCCCAGAACCCTATTCTAATTATGAAGGCCCCTACATTAACCATGGATAAGATTATCAGGATGTAGGGTCATTCCCACTGCTGTACGCTCACACGAAGAGAGACCGTTCGCGAGGCATCAGTGTTCGGGATGTAGACGTCCACACAGGAACTGCTGGCTTGAGGAGTAAACTTCCGGTAAATCTCCACATCTCTATTGGGGGTAGCATTAAAGAACTCACTCGGATTATTCTTTGTCGTTGAGGATTCGGATTTCGTGCGGAAATGGCCGGGAGATCTCAATTATACCATGGCAAGTTGTAGTGTCCCTATGACCAAACTTGGGATCACATCAACCGGTATGTGCTTGTGATTCCCACCCTCATTAACAGTCGAAGCCAGGATTCGCAAGCAAACATCTAAACAAGCCCGGGTCGCTTTCTCACTTTTGCCTCGCAGAGGCCACCCCCGTTCGATGTCGATGCGGTGTATGGGCCAGCGATGCATCTCGTGGACCTCCTGTGGTCACATGGCTAGGGAATTCGGGTTTGGGATTCATTAAGAGGTTCAGAGATTCGGAAGTTGGCGCTGATTGGTCGGTTGTCGATGCTAAGTATACATGGTCCACCTTTTGGAAAATGAGTTGTTTTGAGAGCTGGTCATGTTTGTTAATGTGCATGCTGGGTTAGCTTTCGCACCTTGTTTGATTCCGGAGCAGTGATGACATCTTGGTTGCTCAGCCAGGCTTCTTGTCACTTTCATTGCTCATTCCAGGCATGCTGCTGTGTCAACAGCGTGCTCGGTTACATACACGTAGCTGATCATAGACGTTTTGCCAGTTGCGGCCAAGGACGCGCTTCTTCTCTCCGATTCTCTTCTGGCTTTTAGGCGCCGGTGTAGTTCATACTGTTGTATGGATGCAGCAGTGCGCACACCGTCACAGCGTCACATCAACAGAGTATAACAATGGGTTGACAACCAGGTTAGACCGGCAACAAAGGCAGATCAGATGCACAAGAAAACTCTGAAGCCTACTTGTGTGAGGACAGAATCAAGAAGGGGGTGGGTCGTGAAAGATTGAGGAGTGCGAGTTCCCCAGACAGCATTATCAGCAACTTCGATGCCTGCCCCAATATGCACTATACAGATCTTAAGTCCGAAAAGGTGCACATACATGGACCCCAAACATGGAATTACATGGCCCTTAGGATCTTAGGAGTAGGAGCCTTATTGCACAACACCGTTGCGTAAAGGACCCGCCTAGACATCCAAATCTGCTGGTCCACCAGATCTCATCTTCTGGGCCAGTCCCATCCGGTCCTTGTTGGCTCTGATTCTCTGGACGCTTGCCTGCATCTTGGGTGAGGGAAGCAACATTTGTAATCATGACTATGCAGCCCGTCGGCTGTGTATTTGTTGCCGAGATCTTCCAGCAAGGCTTGCGATGTTGACCCTTATACGCAAAATTGGCAAGCAGTGTGTACCTTTTGGTGGAAAGCAGCGAAATCAGAGCACACGAGCAGACACACATGATCAACATCACAGCAACCCGAAGCCTACAAACTTGAAATACGCGTGCACAAGGGCCCGAGCATATTTATGCCGGCTAGTAAAGCTGTGACCTTCGAAAGACAGTTTAATGCAGACGTACCCATGGCGCTTCTGGCAACACCCAAGGTCATGCATGATCTCGCAGGTTGACAACCGAAAGCAAGCGAAGACGATCCCCAGCCTTCGCCCCTCAGCCCACAGCCCCAAACCACACCTTCCCCTCCAAGAGTCAAGACTTCGACCTTTTTGAGTCTGAAGGAACCTTGGTGCTCGGTATGGGCTGCCGCCGGGAGCCCTGCACGGGAACTCTGAAAACATACAGAGCTCCGATAGGTTGTGAGATACCATGCGTGCAGTGAAGCCTGCGACTCCTCTCTCAAGCCTTTGCCAAGACCATGCTGACACAGACCAACCGAAGCCCAAAGCAGCAGACCTGAAAACAGTTTGCTGTCGAAATCCTCAAATCTCACGTCACACTAACCCCTGAGCAGTGTCAGGCACTACCCAGCCCTGCCGCCCTTCGGGCTCCTGTGCCTGAGCTGCCGAAAGTGGCCTCTGTTTGGGGCTGTTGTTTCTACTGTTGTTGCTTCTGTTACAGCAGATGTGGCTGTCCATGAGTACTAGCAGTAGTAGGTGGAGTTACCGTAGGACTAGGAGTAGGAGTAGGAGTAGCAGCAGTAGTGGTAGTAGTAGTAGTCGTCGTCGTCGTCGTAGTAGCAGTAGTAGTAGCAGCAGCAGTAGCAGTAGCAGTAGCAGTCGCAGTAGCAGTGGTAGTAGCAGTAGCAATAGCAGTAGCAATAGCAATAGCAGTAGCAGTAGCAGTAGCAGTAGCAGTAGCAGTAGCAGTAGCAGTAGCAGTAGCAGTAGCAGTAGCAGTAGCAGTAGCAGTAGCAGTAGTAGAAGCATAGTAGTAGGAGAAGCCGCAGCAGCAGCAGCAGCAGCAGCAGGAGGAGTAGCAGTAGCAGTAGTAGTAGTAGTAGTAGTAGTAGTAGTAGTAGCAGCAGCAGTGCTATTAGTGCTAGTAGTAGTAGTAGTAGTAGTAGTAGTAGTAGTAGCAAGAGTAGGAGTAGTAGTACTAGTAGTAGTAGTAGTAGTAGTAGTAGTAGTAGTAGTAGTACTAGTAGTAGTAGTAGTACTGGTAGTAGTAGCAGCAGTGGAAGTAGTAGCAGTAGCAGTAGTGCTAGTAGTAGTAGTCGTCGTCGTAGTCGCAGATGTGGTCGTGGTGTAGTAGTAGTAGTAGTAGTAGTAGTAGTAGTAGTGGTAGTAGTGGTAGTAGTGGTAGTTGTGGTAGTAGTAGTAGTGGTAGTAGTGGTAGTAGTGGTAGTAGTAGTAGTAGCAGCAGTAGTAGTAGTAGTAGTAGTAGTAGACGAGTACCAGTACTAGCACTAATACTAGTTTTATGCAGCCCGTGAAGTACAAGACTTGCATGGACAGTCCAAGCTCAACTCTGCTCTGAACTCAGGTGCTTCATGGTGTACAACCGCCTGACACGTGAAAAGGAGCCGGAAGTCCTGGAGCAGGCAGATGGAGTCCGGTTGTGTACTTTGGGTTTCGTTAGTACTCTGGTGGACTGTGGTACATACTTACATACTTACAAAGTTCACTTTATGTACACTCGCATAAACGTACGCCGATGTACAGCATCATGTATCAAACTACCTGCTTGCATGCTCGTATGTGCATGTGTATATGTGTATATGTAGTTTACACAGATATGTAGTTTGACACGTGTATGCCTATATGTGCTATGATACAGACATATACACCCACAGTCAGCGTTCGACAGACAGTTCAAAACACAAGCCAGCCTATACACCATAAGCATAGCTTGCGATGCATTGCTGTAGGCACAGCGCAAGAGCGAGAGCGACCGGAGAGCATGACATATCCCGTTGATCATGCTACTTGCAGTCATGTGTTTATGTTGCTCTACAGAAGCATGTAGGAACTTGGGAGTTGCACATCGCATGCACAAGTCATCAACGGCTGGCTTTTGCAGTAATTAAAACAAATCGAATTGCGAGTCCCAAGCAGCAGCGAGAAGTTTGAGTGAATGTGAGATGTGTTCTGCGCCCTCTGCTACTAGCCTTCTGTTTCAAACCTCCTGGTACTTGTAGGAATCTAGGTCGGTTGTAGCCTCTGCTACACCTCGCCCATCCACCTCCCCCCGCCCTTTAGAATCTTTAGAATCCGTTGTGCAGATCAGGCGCAGCCTCCTTTGCGGCGTCACCGATCGCTCCTTCGGAAGAAATCCGCCCCCGCGCTGCCCGAGGAGGCTGCGTCCATTCGACGGTCCTCACATTGCGGACTAAATGACCCTTACAAGCAAGGGCCTACACCCCTGCAGTGTGAATCTCTACAAGAGTTCATTTCATCCTTAAGATACGGCGTCTATTGTAATCACATGTCCTAGGGCGGGTAGCCTTCAGTATCTTGAAGCGAATATTCATAATAGCTAGCCATCTGCAACTCTCGCAGCAGCGGCGCGGAATCCGGTAGATTGACTCTTGGGAATATCCGTCTGCTGTATTGTACTCTCGACGTAAGCATTGCTGGAGCTCGAACCCCGTATCCAAGAAGAGCAGGCGACATTTGTGCACAGGTGCTTGTCGTTCCGTAATTACTCTCAAGCTGTAAGCATTATTTGGCAGATATCTGGAGTATGCACATATATAATTAATCTTGTGATAAAACAAACATAGAGTATAGCACCAGGGGGCTATGCTTTTTTTCCTAGGGACCCCCGCTAAAGAATCCTACGACTGCAAGGACTTGGTTTCTGAAACCTGTGGCATCTGAGCTATGCTTCACAGGAGGCTGTCCACCCGCAGCCGCCCCTCTCTCGCCAGGACTTGTAGGGTAGTGGTCGTTCTGAAGGGTTTCCGTTCGGATCTCAGTGTTGAGGGTGCGTAGGATAGATAAAGAGCTTGCGACCACAATCAAGCAGTTTCCTGGAGCCATAGATTCCAGACTGCTAGGGTGTGTGGTGATGCCTACTTATAGGAAGTCACAAGTAGAAGGCATACAGAGATTGACTTGATATGCCAGGTTATGTTACTTCGACCGGCTTGAATCGCTAACAAGTAGATGGCACACGGCCTTTCCATCGTTGCAGGCGTCTCCGCTAGCACATAGAAGGCATATCTCCACGGCATGCCCGTGTCTTCCATCCGGAGCCGGCTCATGACGAGGGTGTGCGGGAGTTGTTGTTTTCGTATCTATACAAGACATGATCGAACTTGCACCATTCATGCATATGTATATATATATATATATACCTAGCCGCATTGCATGAGACACCCTAGCCATGAGTTCTTCGCCGGATCTCGGTGCGATAGTGCCTCCTGGTTTCGAGGCAGGAGATTGGGCGAGGGGTATTGTTTGTGCCTATACAATAAGACACAGGTGCTAAGGGCTGCATTGTGAAAATC